GACTACTGCCTCCCGCGTTCACAGCCACTTTTTGGCTTTATTGTGTATGAATGTTATGTTCTATTTTACGGTGCGTTGCGGTCGGTTTGTTTGGTATATAAACCTAGTGTGTCTGAAATAAATGATTCACATAGTGGAGGCTGTTGTTAGCATTCTGGACTCAGCTGGACGGACTAGGCGAGCAAATGACCAATAGGACGCTAGGCTGGTCAGACCGCTCAGAAGTTATTGGCTTAGTACAGCAAAAGGAAGAATAAGTAGTATTTCTGTTGGCGAATAAGTTACATGGTAACTAGAGGGCCATAAAGACACAACAGTGACCAGTGAAGCTAATCCGTGTCGAGTGTGAGGCATCTACCCACTGAAGACAATGGAAGATTGTCGAACGAATTCGTGGATTGGTTGAAGTTAGATAATAGAACCGTCTGATTCCAGCTCAGTGATTTAGAGGTTAAACGTTCGCGCGAGACTGTAGGTTTCGTTTTTGAGTAGTGCGTGTAGTATCGTGGAAGTGCACTGCTGAGACGTCCCATACTAGGATAAATCTGCTGTTCAGTGCTTCTAGGTTTTGGCTGGTGGTTCATGATCTCAGTAAAAAATTGTAATTGTGATAGTTATAAGTCACTTAAAATCAAGGAAAGGAATTATGAGTTCTCTAAATAAATTCAGAAGTGAATTAATCTACATAACATAAATAAAGAGATCTTCAGATATTGATTAATATGCTCAAAGTTTTTATGGAAGATTTCATTTTTTCACGGTAGTTTGGAAGTGATACCGTTAATGTCATCAAGTGACCACTTTATTCTAAGTAGATTGTATATAAGGCGAAGGTCAACCCTATCGATAAACCGAAATCCTAGCCCTAATTTCTAACCTGAACCCCTAACGCTAATCCTATAACCAGGAATATCAATGTCATATAGACATACGGTTGAATTTATATATTAATTTTCATGTAAAATCCGTGCATCTTAGCTTTATAATTACTTTCCAATTAAACTATTCATTCTCAATGACTGTTTTCCGATTAGCTGAAAATAAGATAACATTTTGTCAGGATTATTTGTAAAATCGTTCAACTCCACCCTGTCCTATAGACTAACTGCTTTAATGATTTTATCTACAACATTCAATCATGGGTATTGGGTTTTTTAAAGAAACTCAATTTATTATGTCTACTGAATCAATTTTATTGACTGAAGTTACTCTGCGACAAGAATAGTCTAATAAGCAACACTATTTTTCTTTTACGTACTACTGACAGTTGTTTAATATTTGATTAGTAAAATTTAAACTGATCTAAGCACACTGGATAATAACTATACAAGTCATGTTGATATTTCATATAATAGACTTCGATAAATGGATTACAACTTTACTTGTGCATATAACCATAACAACACTGGTATGTAGAATATCCAGATTTCTACTTAGTTTTTTTTACTTTGGATTCAACCATTATGAATGCGGAACATAAATTACAAGTTATGGCGTTGATCTTTCAACCAATAAAAAAACTGAGTTTGAACTTCTCTCTATCCAATATAGCTTAAGGAATTGAGTAGTATTATTGCTGTTCATACAGAAACGTTTTGTTGGAAAATTGAGTACACACATCTGTACTTGGTAAATGTGTAACATTTAAGTTCAAAAAAATATACGTACTAGATAATAATAAATGAATAAACTACTAGCTTCTTCCGAAGATGAATCGAAAGAAAACAGCCTCTTTTCCAGATAAACTACTTAAACTCCTGTGTATGTCTAAGCAAGAATAGATGTTAAATAGTAATGGTTGTACAACTACTCAATATTTACAATAAAATCAGAGGTATCAAGGTTTGTTTGGAAAGGAACACACTACGTAAAAAATAAGTAAAAAAGCAAAAGATCTTGACTATAATATTGTTCAATAGTATGTACGGTTTGTTGTGAGGATAGTTAGAAACTAATTTAAGAGGAAATATAAAATAATTTTAAGCATACAATTTAAAGTTTTCGAAGGCTTTAGAAATAACCTTTCGAAAGAAATTCAATACTACAATAGTGACACTATAAATATGGATTATTTAATGTTTATTTCTAGTTGATAAATAACTTTGCTAAATTATCATTATGTCTTAAAAAAATTATTTCTTTTGTTATAATTAGACTAAAAGGGAATTTTTATCAAAATGAAGATTTGTGGAGAGTGTAGTAATTTCAATGGTTAAACTCACCAGTCGATCTAATCTAGACAACCATTGAAAACATAGAAGCACTCGACGACACGCGGGATCCTGGATGCGCACTGCTGAGACGTCCCATACTAGGACTAAATGGCCATTCAGTGGTTCAAGGTTTTCAATGGTGGTCTAGCTCAGATTATTTTTTTTATTATTATCATCAGCTTTATTCAATATTATATTTTTGGTACAATATAGAATTCTCAGCATAAAGTATTTCAGCAAGTTTCCGTTTCTTTCTTCTTGGTCGGTCCTGGCGATAAATAGTGAGTGATCGCCAGTTAGATGTTAGCAGTTCAGTAAATGAACATCTGAGAAATGTGCATTCTTTTCGTTGTATATTGCCAGCAACCACATTGTCTCTTATTGAGTTTTTTGTAACTTTGACAACGAAAGGTTGTACACTTTTCAGAAACGCAGCAGAATAGGCTATGCGATTCATAAATATAATGATATATTAAAACAAAGAAAAATAGATAACTTGTTGAAATATCTAGATGACAGGAACAGGTAGCCCAGATGCTCAAGCAGGCCGCCCTTTATCGACTCATAAATTCAACTATTAAAAGAAAATTACTTCAAATAAGTTTGTATAAACTTTTAGCTTAAGTAAACTATTGGATGAATGTAACTACACTTGATAATTTTGTATATAAATCCAGTGAATTGTTACTCTAGAAAATATTAACTTTTATTTGACAAATTCTTATTTGTATCACAAGAGGCTTTATTGAGATTGTAGTAATTCCAATAGTTGAGATCATGAGTCAATTGTAGCTAGACCACTATGGAAAACCTGGAAGCATTGGACGGCCGTTTTGTCTTATTGTGGGACTCCTCAACATTGCACTTCCACGACCCCGCCTAGCGGGATTCGAACCCATTATCTAGCTGTCACATTTGATTTTTTTCATTGTTTCCAGATAATGTATTTCAGTAGTAATCCATTAAGTAATTAAATAATAACTTTCGTTATGAATTGTAGTAAGTTAAGAAGATCTGAATTCTATACTCGCATGATATTAGGACTTACAGACATAGAAATATATATACATAAATTTTTTGTCTTGATAAAGATGAAAATGAGAATTTTAATAATATACACTGGGTATTTTAATCTCTCCCATATCATCAGTATATACATATTGATAAGTGAATAATAATAACAATAATAAGGTATCCAGATATTTTTCTATGTCAAACATAAACATACATAACAATCAGAAGTATCAATATAATTTCCAAAAGTTTAAAATTCGTTGGAATTAAAAGTATTAAGCATGTTTTACTTGATTAAATTATCATCAATAAAATATCATAGGGATTTTCTTTATTTTTATAAAGCAAATACAATAAACACTGTAGGATGAAGTGAGTTCATTCTGCTTTATATGCTCTAAATCTTTTACATACTGATTTATATAAATAAATATGATTTTGTGTGGAACATGTATAAAATCAATAAATACATTGATGAAAAGTAATTATAGTTATAATAAATAGCTTAAATATTCATACAAGTATTACACCTCACCTACACTTGAATCTGTTTATGTTTAATTTTGTTAAACCTTTAAATTAACTTATTTAACAGATAGTTTCATTTGAACAGTAATGATTTGTCTATATCTTTGTTTATTATTATTATTATTATTATTATTATTATTATTATTATTATCATGTCTGTATGATCATGTATGCTTGGTCATGTGCAACACCTACTCACATATCTCTCTCACTGACCTAAACGTTAGTTGCTTGAATCGCTCGATGATTATATATATATGCTTGTGACTTAGTAATTTGTGCGATACAATAATAAACACTTCATGTTGTCTTCGAAAATTTATACATCATTTGGAGTTATTTAATAACGTTTATCAGGACAAGTGATATAAGAAGCCTTGGAAATTATCCCGAAGCTAATCCACTACACAAGTTCAGTTTATAGATGGATGGAATAGGTGGACAAGAAGCCATGACGTAACAGAGTACAAGAAACAAGTATGATAACAAGTAATAACAACCCTATACTAAAACTTTTTCATTGGTGAATTTAATGATTGTGAGAACATTACACTTAAACAACTTTTATTTATTCATATAAATCATTGCATGTGCGGAAGATTCAGGAAAGATGAAATGAAAATCAATTACTTCATCCTACAATGTTTCTTGTTTCAATTAAACAAAAGTTTATCAAAGGAAGCAATTGCATGAAACTATACTTTTGTTTTGTTCTCCAAGTTATATGAGACAGTAAAAACGAAGAGAAGCTCAGGGAGAAATAGTCATGTGAAGAGACTGGAATAAAAATTGGCATTTGAAGTCATTCGCCAGTAACTTATAAGATCTTCATCAGATTTTTGTTCATACTGTCTTATGTTTGAAACAGTCTTATTGGATAATCTATAGTTAGTGAACGGATTCTCACTAATCGCTTAGTTACTTCTTTTAATTGTAATATTTAATTACTTGAAAATTTATGTAAATAGTGGTATTTTTCCTAAATATTAGTTTTTGTAGTCACAGGTCAATTATTTGCCTTTGGATAATTCTCAGCTCAAGGTGATGTAAGGTTCTGAAGTGAAGTCATCTTATTTGTTGTCGACTAAGAACAAAATAAATTTCAATTATCGTATTTAATTTCTCTCGGCCATATCAATATATTTTCCATTTTTCGTTCACTTGAGGAACTAAATATTACAATATTCTTGCTAATTTTTGTTGTTGAATAAATCAATATAAACTTTGAAAATTACACAAACTTACATCTATGGCTTCCATTTCTGCATCATTTTGATTTAAGACCATTTGTTGTAAACTATCACGATTTAAATTATCTTTTGATACAGTAATTCTTTCCATACTATCTTGTGTTTGCATAACTGAACTGCCACTGGATCCAGCTCTTTCAAGTAATTTATAGTTAGTTAATTTTTGTTCATTCAATTCCACATCATTACCAAATGAACTATGTCGTGAATGTGAAATTGTTAATATATTATTCGAATGATGATTTGGTACTGATGGGATTAAATTTGCAACTGTTTTAGTCACTTCGTCTGTACGCTCATCTAACCAATCAGATAAAACATTTGCTTCCTCTTCGAAATGTCTCCAATATAGTAAAACATTTTGTAAACATGCATAACGTGTATTTACCCAACTAACTAAACGACTCCAACGAGTAGCTAATTCAGCTATCACATTTTCTATACCACGTTCATTCGTATAATTATCTTCATTATCTGTTGCTTTTTGTGGTACAATAGTTATGAAATTATCTAAGCGTTCTGCCAATGCTTCACCAGATTCAATTAATTGTTCTAAACATCGATTTGCTTCTAACTGCTTTTTAATATCAGCAATTGACGGACCAATTTGTTGATTCAATTGAAGAGTTCTAAATATGCATGTTTTAGTACAAAAAACGTATTATGGTGAAAATTTGCAACTCACATCCAGTTGCATAAATCAGTTTTCATCAATAATCTATTCAACGAAATTAAAGTTGTATTCATTAACCTACTCACAAAGATACCAGTAGTTTGCTAACCGTTTAATGAAAAACGAGGATTGGTTTCAGTTTTATATGATGATCACATAGATGCAGTTATCACTGTAATTTATTTTGACTATACATTAGGTAGACGTATATTTAACAGATTCTGACAATCAGCCCATTACTGAAAACTCCATTTGGGGAAACATGATTCTATTCGTGTTTTGAAAACTCATATGAATTAGCATTTCTACATTAGTAGTCTCTCAAATGTTAATTATGCGAAAGTATGCAAAACGATTGAAAATCTCAAGTAAACACACATAGTTTCCAAAACGAGGGAAAATGTATCCTACTATAGAGGACCTTATAAAAAGCTTTACATAAATGTAGTATTCTAAATCGGCCATTATAATCTCGTTCAGTTCAATCAAGTTGATCTCACAATTAGAAATGTATGACGCTACAATATCAATGAATGAAAGTAGTCTTTTGGAATAATAACTCGCTTCTTATTAATTCTTACGTCGTAATTCTATGTGTATTTCAATCCTAGAAAATTATAATGAAACTTTAAAATTCTAGTCTTTCATCATTTTATTGTTAACATAAAGTCAAATCATATCTATAGACATGTAACTATGACTATCCAAGAATTATATTTGAATGAAGCCTTTCACGCTTTTATCATATTAGTGGGTTTTTTAACATTTTATTAAAATAAAGGAACAAACTTACTGCTCATTTTCCAATTTATCTAACTGTATACGTATAGCACTTAAAAGCATAGTTTGTCGTCTAAGTAAACTTGCTGTTATACGTTTACCTACAGCAGTATTTAAACGACATAGATTATTCCATCTTGTTGCTAATAATACAGTTTGTCGTTGAATAACAGCAGGATCTAATTCACGAAGTTTTTGCTGTATAGATATTTGTCTTTGTTTTTCCTCTGTATTCTCAGAACTCTCTTCATCGCTAGCATCAACACCAGTTCGAACACTGTTTGATTCCTTTTGACTGAACATTTCATTATTTTTCAGAATATTATCTAAGTTTTCATGGGTTTTTATTAAACGGTTACCAAGACGTAGACATCGTCCAACAGCCATTTGACGGCGGGATAAATGAGCAGTTAAATCCTAATTTAATTTTATTAATTATTAGAAGAGAAGAGAAAAAAATGGCCATTAAATAAAGTATTTGAAGACAGTTACGAAACAATTAAGAGAAAAAGAGAAATCACTGTCGTTCCACTGCAGAAATATTAACGTTTGCAAAAATCAATGAACTAACGTCACAATTTATTGTATAACGCGAAATGTTTCCACCATTCGACTGTGATGTAGTTAGGCTTAATACGAAGGGATTCTGAATGGTTTTCGTATATATATGACTTAATAGACTAATGAATGATGTAAACAAATAGTAGTTACACATAATTTTACAGTAGATAATCACTTTTGATAGGAGTAGCGACCAAAGCAATTACGACTTTCAACTATAGTCTACATTTGTGTTCTTCGTCGTATCTTTTGTTCAATAGCTCTTACTAGAAAGAATTCCACATACTACAAAACTAAAGAATTAAAATAATCACAGTTAAGTATTTGTTTCACGATTTGAAAACAATTTCTCACCATCGAGTCTGAATATCCTGAAATAAATCCATTTTAAGTAATATCCAGGAACTTTAAACGGAAAAAAAATCATAATTGAAATATTTTTTGTAGAGCTTCATGAACTTAAGGTTTCTTGTCAACATTTTTCAACGTGAGGAGACTACATGTCCCAACTCTGCCTTTAATATAATTCTGAGTGATTTTTCTGCTTATACATTATGGTCACTAAGCTAAACCACTGAATATTATTATTCAATACATTCGATTATCAAAAAGAATATCCTGACACGGATTTCATGCTTAGTTGAATTGCTTATCTGTAGAGACGAACTAACGATCTTCAGAAGACCTGAACCTGAGTCAACCAAATTTCATTTATAAACTTCATTATTTAATCCATAAATAATAGCCTAAATTATAAAAATCATTTCATTGCCAATCGGGTTTTCTAGTTAGCCTCTTTTGTGAGCACAAAATTAAAAATAGTTAAATAGTGTCTATTAATAACCAGTCACATAGAACCCCACGAACACGCACACAATCAGACAAACAGAAACTTTTTAAAACTTACCTCATGTGTTTCAAACTTATCTCTGGCTTCATCAATGTTTTTTAAAATTGCTGCATGCATTAATGTTGTTTCATTTGAGTTGGCTCTTTGAAGACGCAGAATAAAATTTTTATCTTCTTCATTATGCACTGATTGTAACTGATCATTTTTAGTCATTGTATAACTGTTATTCGTAAAATTACGCGGATCCTCTTGTAGATCGTTTTGCCCAAATTGTTCTTCCATAGCTAATAACCACGCTAATGTGGTTTCAATTACTGTACCAAAATGATCAGGATCAGGTAGACGATTTATATCACCAGTTTCGTCATCCGAATCACCTTCAACTTCATCATCAAGCCAAGAAGTTTCCGACGTACTACATGTTGATGTTGGTGAACATCGACTTTCGACTATAACATTTGGTTCTTCATTTGACTGTCCATGAATCTAAATATTTTTAAAGTTTCAGATTAAAAAAGGATCGAACTGGCTTTATTCAATCAGAGGACAATAACATAAGATAAAAGAACACTTGGTTAGTCAAAGTCAGTAGTACTAGAGATTTTGGGGCTACCTAAATGAGACATTGATAGCTAGATTTAAGGAGGGAATTTCGTGAGAATGAGAGTAACTTGGCTATTTGTATCTCATCAAAGCTAAGTTCGTATTTATATTTTGTCATCTTACCTGCATATTAAGAAAAATAAGATCGTGAGGAGTAACTGTTTGAAATTAAGTTAATGTAATAGGGTTTTGTAGCTACATCTGTACTTCAATGAAACAATGATTCAAAGATAAATAACTCAAAATCTTTTATGATGTACGTTTTTCCTCTTCTTCATACATAACCACACCATCTCTACAACAATAAACTAGATCACGTAACGTTTCTAACATGCAAGTAATTTATTAAACAAACTATTTTGTCAGATGTTTCAGTAATGCGCACTAAATAAAAGGTAGATTGTTCTACTTTTATTTATGAAGTTTTAAATATTTATCATATTGATCATATTGAATTCCTTGTGTTGAACAAAAACAATGTAAGTCTAGAAAATTAATGTTTCACTGATAAATGTTCTTTTAGAAACGTCATATCTAATATTTAGTTAAAAACCATAGACGACATATTTCTTTCTGTATTAAAATCTAATACCCCATTATAAATTTTCGAGAAATCTGAATAGGATTATTTGATTTTTTTTATAGTTGAAGTCAAGAGCGCACATTATTATTTGTCAACGGATCCCATAAATTCATTTGTTTGCCTTAACAAAAGGGATTAACGAATATTTGTTTCAGTTCCTATGTTGATAATGACTGGTATGAAATTGGTTTTATTTATATCATTTTACTAGCATTGAATCTGTTATCTCAATGTTAAAATAGGTCCTGGGTTCGGATCTCGCGGGGCGCGTTGTGGATGCGCGCTGTCGAGGGGTCCCACAATAGAACGAAATGGCCGTCCGGTGCTTCCAGGTTTTTCATAGTGGTTTAGCTTCAACTGACTCATGATCTCAATTATTGAAGCTAAAACATTTGTTTGTTAAATTTATATTTCTTCTACTGAAATTTTCAGTATGCCATGTTAATTTTAAGTTGATAATTCTCTCCAATTTGGACTTTATCTTGAAAAATATGTTATAAATTTTTTTTATATATGTCAGATTATTCTATGGCATTAGGAATTAACTTGATTTGGAATTATTAATGTTCAAGTTGATGAATGAGATCTGTTGAATATCATTCTGTATCATCTGAAGTTGGAAAATATGAACTATTCGATAAAAAATGTTCTTCAAAAATAACATAATATTCACAATCTATCTAATTAAATCAACAAATAACTGAACTAAAGATATGTCAAATTAATATTAATCTGATTTTCCTTGTGTATATTGTCTTTTTTCATTGATTCGAAAAAGAATGATAAGCAATCGAACGAGAAAACTTGTACAGTAGTGTAACATCAGTTTTGGATGAAAACATTTGTAACACGGTAAACAACTTACCATAGCAGCTGTTTGTATTTCTAGAATACCTCTAGAACGACGCTTTCTATCTCTTTCAACCGCTTTACGTAATTCTAAGAGATAAACGGCAGTCGATCTAGCATCAATATTCTCATGACGCATATCCACCGGTTCTAGTAGTCTTGGAGTGGCGAATTCAGCTGTTGCTAAATGAAATGCAAGTGATAAATTTTGATTTGGTGTTTTTTCTAATCGAGATTCAAACGTAAACAATTCCGACCTATAAAAATTAATGATTAAAAAGGGAAAAAGTTTTTTTTTAAAGTTATAGCAAAGATGAAAAGAAAACAGTTAGTCCCTTTCTTAGACGATAGCCATCTATGTATCATGAATTGACTTCAGTTGGAAATATAAACTGCTGAATATTAATTAAGAGGATTATAAATAAATCATTTTATGTTCCGTCTGAAAACTTCAAGTGTCTCCTCCGGGGTTTTTGTGGGTATACGTCGCTGTGGAGTCTCATACTGAAATAAAGAGTTGTACGGTGATCCTGGTATTCTGTGACCGTCTAGTTTAAATTAGTTCATAAAATGAACTAAAAATAATTTATTTATTTTGTCAAAAAATTAATTAAAGATTGTTATGATAAGAATTATCTTGATATTGCCTAATTTGGTCTTTTATTGTATTAAACCACCTTTGCTCATCCAAAATTGAGTTTAGTTATTCAACTGCATCACTTACAAAGACAACTCCATTTTACTGAGTATCAATTAGCACATCAGTTTATCACTATTATGCAATTAGTTCCCTTTGTGAATTTAAATAAAGCCAGAACGAACATTGATGCAGAATAATATGAATTCATTATATTTCCTGGTTTCTCATCAGCTGCTTACAACCAAATACGTATTAGAATTTTACACTGAGGTAAGATATAGTGAGGAACATATGATATAAGTGAATGTAAAGAATCGGAATGACCAAGGATGTCAATCATATATATATATATATATATATATATATATATATGCAAGAATGGGTCAGAGGTTATATGGTGTTAGAATCAAGGAATTATTAGGGATGGGTGATATAACAGTTGAATGAAGTTCAGAGACAGATGAGATAAATTATGTGACAATTTTAGAGGTAATGAAGAGTTTACATAAGATTCATGAAATTAAAAACTGGTAAGATGGGTTTGTGTAATAATTGAATAGGATTTGAAGAGTTCACATAATTTACGAGAATCAAGTGAGTGGAAAAGTATCAGTTAAGGGGTGGTTATGATAATTACCAATTATGATAATAACCAACAGTATGGACATTGAGAAAATAGAATGCAAGTCGTAAACTAATGTTCTTAATTGATTTTGAATTCTTTGTAAGCTTTTTTTTAAAATGATTTTGTTTCATAAATTTCAACGTGATGTTATTTGAATGTATATATTTTCATAGCGGATAGGAGAAAGGTCCACAGTATACACATCGTCCTGTTTAGAACTGGTCGGTTGCGTATATCGTGGTAATGATCTTATGGAAGCTTATTTCCATTCCTATCTTTGAAATAAGAAGGCGTTCATATATAGGAATTATGAAAACCGGATGATGTTTTACTCCAATTCATGGGATTTTTAATAAACCCACAGCTGAAACTGCAGAAACAACAAAAGTTTCGCCAACCTAACTAAAATATCTTAGTCCATATACAATTTGGTTTAGAGTTCGTTATACTGTATGAGTTTGAGCTGACCATATCTAGTTGATGAATGTACACATAAACCATGTAAATAATTTATATGATTGAAAATTACATAGTGAAAGAGCTAGTAAAACTCCAATTTATTGACTGTCCTAAAACGATTTAAATTAGTAGTTTCTGAGACATGTTAGCCTCACCTTTAAATCCGTTGTGTGGTCTAAAGTGTTTGGCTTTAGTAAGCTTTAAACTATAGTGAAAGAATTCTACAGCGCTCTTACGTTTTTAGTGTTTTCTCACATACAATTTCATAAAGAAACCTATTCGAAACTCCCCTAAATCTTTACTAACAGTTTCTTTCTTCATGATAGTCTTAAAACATTTTTGTAACCGATTTTATTTTATCAAAAAAGATATTAGTTAATGAATCATAAATTGACCTTTTTGTTACCATCACTATATCACCTATGAATCATCAAAAAAGTTTAAGTATTAACATTGTGTCCATAAATGAAGTGACCTGTTTGTTTTCGAATAAATGGATTACTGTATCGAGTTTGTTTACAGCCCCAGTTTAGTGTCACAAATACAAACATATGTTGAATGCAACTGCGTAAATAACTATCCAGTTATCAGAATTCGTCGTCTGGTGAACATATTTGTTTTAAAACATTAACACAATGATTATTAGACTAAACAACAAAAATAAAAATAATAAGTTACTTCTTTTCTTCACTGATTACAAATAATCCCCCCCCAAAATAATAATGTTATGAATTAAATGTCTAACTACATAAAGGAATGCCATATTTAAAAAGGCAGAGGACAACAGTGTGTTGAGAGAAAATAACGTAATCCTAATCGATACAATCTTGTTTATTGTGTAGTTTTTTTAATAAACTTCATTGTAGTATTTACGTAGATTTGATTACATTTCAAAGTATCTAGTTAAATGTAAAATCAACCAGTATTCAGGGAGAATCATAAATGTGAAATAAGCAATAGACATGTAATGTATGGTTTACATTCTTTTATTCTGCAATCAATCATTAGTAAATCAACTAACTTCAAATCTAACTCAGTAAGTTGAAATATGTTAAAAATGGCAAGACGACAATTGGGTTAAGAAGCTCCAATTTTGAATGTCTAGTCAATGCTTAACACCAATTCAATGTAAATGATTGCGAATCAACCTAGTCTACGCTGTGAGAATACGGTTTTTAATTACAACGAAAATCAAAGGAACTCATTCAGTTAAAGCTATTTTCCTAACAAACAATTAAAAAAAATTGAACTTCATGTGATTAAAGAATCCTCTAACTGGTTTGACATTCCTATTTAATAAGTTTTTATAGCCGCCTACCTCGAAATGTATTGGACGAAGCGAAGTGTGGACAAACGAAGACTTGACATTAATCCATGAAGTCAGTGACTTTCGGTAGGTATAGACTACTTGACTGATTTTCGTGCAACAACTATGATCACTATTTGAAGACATTGAGGGACATAGCTCAAAGTCAACCACAGTGGTGCCGACATGTTCGGTTTTTATTTTTCTTTAAATCTTGAGATATTGAATTATTTTTATTCTATAACATCATACCTGCCTTCGAATAACATCTCCTGTTTAGTCAGAATATCACCATTAGTATTATTATCCCGACACCCTTCAACTCGTTGTGTTTAAATGGTGAAACAATTTGGGTCAATGTATTTTTGACTCAAGTCTTTATTATTCGGTCGACCTAGTGAATTCTTTTCTTTCACTTGTTTAGTATTACCATGCATTATACAACCTAGACTGTTTAGAACCTCACACCTTTATTCCATATGATATTTCTATTTATTTGACCACTTAGCTAGAATTTATTTAATTTTCGCACTGATTAATTATTACGCAATATTCTTATTCATTAACGTCACGTTTGAATTTATTTGATATTGAAACCTTTTGAGCTTTATAATAAACTATTTCTTAATTGAACAATATTTTATCTATTGACCGTACAAATAGTGTTACACAAGTCACTACTAACTAATTAGCATTGATTGTATAATCAGTTTTGATATATATATCACGAATCGACCGAAGTATATGACTCATCATCACTGTTTATTCATAACTCAACGAGACTTCGTCTCATACGAAGATCCAACATTTGTCCAGTGTTTCTAGGTATTTAATGTGCGTTTAATCACAGTCTAAAATATAGACTAAACAATTCAATAATCTTCACAATCTCCCTTCCTCTATCAAATATATTTTTCAATGGTTAAGATCATGAGTCAGTTGAAGCTAGACAACCATGGAAAACCTGAAAGCACTGGAGGCCGTTTCGTCCTATTGTGGGACTCCTCAGCAGCGCGCATCCACGACTTCGCCCCCTGCCAGATTCGAACCCAGAACCTACTGATTTCGCGCGCGAGCACTTAACCACTAGACCACTGAGCCGACATCCAACGGTGTTAATGTCTAACTTCAACTAATCCACGAAATTGAGCGACACATCCACCATTGTCTTCAGTGAGTTACTATCTCACAACAGACCTGGTTGAACTCCACTGGTCACTACTTCTCACTAGAACTCCAGGATATACCTCGTGAAGCCAGTCACTAGTGAGCATATGTTAATTATTATCAGATGGGTATTTTGTAGAAATTGTAGTAATTTCAATGGTTAAAATCATGGGTCAGTTGAGGCTTTTGTAGAGAAATGTTAGACAGTTAAATAAATAGGAATATTTCTTAATTGAATTTCATATTCCCTTTGTAGAAAAATAAACGTTACAACTAGATTATGATAAAAATACACTTATCAGACAGATTTAAACAAGATTCCTTAATTTTAATTTTTTTTTTTACCAACACACATATGTATTATGCATTTTTAAAAAATAAGAGAAAAATCAATGAGACATACAGTACATCACATATTTGGCAATGAAAAAAGACTTGTACTATTTAAAAGGTACTTGTAATAGTTTTTACTGATAAACTGAATTACTTTGCATAAGTTAAATACATTTCGATACATTAAAATGACTGTATATTATTTATGAAGCTTAAGTGTCTTATATCAAGTTTTAAAGACACAAAATCAATTCTATTTATCATACAATGTTTCTGTTCTCCTTGCCTATACAGAAAGAAAAACTATTAGCTTTTTACGACATCATTCAAAATTGAATGTGCATTGAAATAGGTCTATGGTAATTCTTACTTATGAATAACTGGTGTACTGTTTTAGTACAAACTAAGTCTAAATAAACTAGATAAACTGAACAACTAACTTACATCATTTCAACAATTATCCTCAACTTTATGGAGGACAGGAAGAAATCGTCAGTTCAAGAGAAGCTTAATATTTAATAAGAGAAAATTTGAAGTAAGACAACTCTGTAAAATATGACCTTGTGAAACCGTGAAGTCCAGCCAGGTTTGTTGTGAACACAGTAACTCACTATAGACAATGGTGGATGTGTCGCTCAATTTCGTGGATTGGTTTAATTTCGACACTAACACCATTGAATGTCGGCTCAGTGGTCTAGAGATTAAGCGTTCATGCGCGAGACCGATAGGTCCTGGGTTCGAATCTCGCGAGGCTGGGTCGTGAATGCGCACTGCTGAGGAGTCCCACAATAGGACGAAACGGTCGTCCAGTGCTCTCAGGTTTTCCATGGTGGTCTAGCTTCTATTGACTTATGACCTTATCTATTGAAATTACTATAATATCCGCAAAAAACTCTTCTGATAATGAAATCAACAAACTGAAAATAACAATAACCTATCAAATAACACAAAATATTAGTGCAGGAATATGAATCAGAAAAATAATCACAATTGTTCTTTTTCAAAAGAATTAACATTTATTAACAAAAGAATAGGTTAAATGGGGTCCTCTCAGCAAAATGTAACCTGTTTTTCTCAGAGGCTTTTGAACTATCATTCTGATGTGAAATTATGGCTATTATGATTGAATGTTTACACTAAGTAATATTTTTTTTCTCATTTTCCTCACTCATATTCACATTTTTGCACAAATCTTGAAAAATATCTAGGTTCCATTGAATGGTTACAATTCAGTTTCAATATTGATATTTCAAATTGATTAGGTGTCATAAAGTAATAATTAATTATTGAATGAAATGTTTTAATAGTTGAAACATTCTAGTTTAAAACACTGTTTTAGATATTCACATCCTAATCTAAACTATATTGATTACTGTGGTAGATAATATAATCTTCACATGATATTTTTATCAGATTCAAATTTTTTCTATACAACTGGACTTTGTTACTGAGTTACTTTATTGCTCACATCTTTATAGTGTTGTTTTCAGAAATTTACGTTTCGATTTCATGAACTAGATAATCTGGTTTTCTTATAGTAAACAATTACCGGCTTTGAAGTATTGATCAGAAAATATTTGTAAGTGTTAATATTCTTAGTTTTATGAGATGGTTAAAAAATGCAATAATTTGTCTGCTTTGAGGCGACTTTAAGATTCACAAATATTTTATGTCCTATGGATCGTCAAATATCATGTGAGAAAATCGCAAATCACAGGATCAACTGCTATAAGCTTGTTCGTGTGCTAGATAACGGCACGTAAACCAGTACTAGCAGCCTTAAGTAAGCTCTGGATCTATATGGGTCCGTGATATAGTAGCTTCTCGACTAACACAATCGGTTCAATCCAGAACACAAATATCAGCCTCGACTATATGAATCATATATTTCAGACATACTTGGAAATATATACAAGCAGACCAGACCGCATCACACTATAAAATAAGGAATAATAATTATGCAAGACCAAGCCAAAAGTAGCTGAGAGTATAGGAAACTATATATATATATATATATAATTTATGAAGAATTCCCGGAAGTTACCATTCGTTTATTCTTCGTTCGAATGTAACATACATGAAATCGTAATCTCTGAGGGCAGTGTTTTACGGAGATTATATCTATTTGGATACTTTAAAAAGACATGGCATTTTATGGAAGTCATTTTAGCCGAACAAAATAAAATTTTGGTACAACTGTTGCATAATAATTTCTTCCATTAACCTTTGGATGTTATTAACTAAATTACAAATAGATATCTCATACATATTGGCAATTATCAAAATGTTGATCCCAGTATCAGTAGTACATACACAGTGATGACGCAGTGAGATTTTGTGTGTTAATTTTATTGCTCTATGATATTCTACATACATCTGTAACCATTTATTTCATGGAGTTATATAAGTAGATATTAATACTTGATCTGTACCATCTAATTAAGAGTCGACTTTTCTAAATTTTAAAGTTATTTAACATTTCTGACAGAATAATTAATCGGTAAACAAAACTGTTCTTTTAACCCCGTTCTCTATGATTAGATAGAACACACAAACTAAAGATTTTTAAAATTTATTTTGCTGAATAGTCGTTAAATTCTAGCTTTAAGCTAGAAAACTCAATCAGTTCCTTCTTTCTCTTAGCCGAATTGAAATCGATCAAAAAAAGTGTGTGTATTGAGAATGTTTTATACATATTTGTTCAATATATATCAACCCTAACCATAAGCCAGTTGACCTGAATTTATTATGACTGGGTTTCCAACGCTTTTGTATATTTACATGTTTTGTTCATCTGCATTGTCTAAGTGATTACTGGTACACACATTTTCAAATAACAGTAGGTTGATTAACGTGTAAATGTGTATAAGTAATGACCTAAAACATAGTTGGTGATGGTGACTAAGCTGAGCATTTACACTTCATTACACATCTAACCTTTAAATTATACTGTACATTATTTCCATTATTTATAAGTGAATATTTACAAAATCATCTCATTTGAATTACTATCAACAAAACAGTAGTGATAAGAATGGAAATAGAGAGAGAAAAGAGAAAAGAAGGGAATAGGCATTTTCGTTCACCAAGTTATGGAAAATACGTAAGAAATGAATCTAACTACTTTCTAGTAATAACAACAAAGTAATTATGTTCTAATGAGTAAAAAACTTTTAAGATGTTTTATTAAACAAATATCAACCAGTGTATTTATCCTTAACTGGGTATGACACAAATATGTTGGTAGTTGTTCTACTTTCTGCATAATGCAATATATTTATTCTGACATCAACTTACAAACTTTTCCTTAACGCTAAAAGAAATATTATGAGTAGTACTGACTAGAATAGTATCACTTGTATAAATGGAGACAGTTATTATTAAGTTAATGGTTTAAGTCCATCATGGTAGTACCCATTTTTTCTATTATTGAAAGTACAAAATGATATTAAAACTAGAATTGAGTCAGTTAAAGTTTCCACATTCTCTAAGCTAGATTCATTATTTTACAATAATAATAAGTAAATGCAAACTTATGCGATAATCAAGAGGCCTTAGTTTTTCTAAAATCTTCTTTTAAAATGAAATATTATCTGTTTGATATAGAATTAGCATAGTTAATTATGAGAAAAATCGATCAGCACAAAGCCCATTCTGAAGTAATATCGGTTGAAGGTATTTCTGTTAAGTTGGAAATGATTAAAAATAGTCTGTTTATTATTTGTGGATATCACTATTATGATTTGACTTGATAATATGACAATCGATTCGATCCTTTTCCTATGAATATTATTTAGAATATATTAAAATGAAACAATGTTTTCGAATAAAGAAACGAATAAAATACTCTGAGTTTGTACGGTATTATTTACCTTATCTCTAAGTTAAGATAGAAAAACTACAATGAGTTCTAAAACTAAACAAAATCAAACGATTATGTAAAAGAGACAGTAAGCTTTGAAATGTTTTAGTTAGAAGAGATGAAAAAAATCTATTAACGAACGAACAGAACTGTTTCTGTGTAGTAGGTTTTGTCGAGTATAATCTATACTAATTGAACAATTTTTATTACTCGTCTCAAGGAACATCTAAACCCCACAAAAAGACCTCTTTTTCAAAATGAAGAAAAAAGAATTGATAGCGGGACAAACTATTTTTAATAAACAATAAATTTATACTAAAATATCAAAACGACTCAATATAATACTGTTCAGTGAGACGAAAGACGAGTGGCTAAATCTTTACATGCATTATTAAACTTTACTACATTAAATGAAACCGAAAACCTGATCATCTACATAACTGGATGAATGATTATAAACTTAAAAATTAAAGTGTTTATTCATCTTACAAATATTTCACGTTTTTTTTTGTACGCCCACTCACATACACAAAAACTTGTCTGATATAAAATCCTTTTTGAACCGAATTATATGTTGAACTTGTCTGTACTATATATTTGCATTTTATTTATTTCTCTGTACTATTCACATTTGATCTAACTATTTTTTCGATTGTTGGAATTTAGATATTCATTTGCGTTATCAAATATATTTTATGAATAACATTTTTCTTATTACTTTGATGAATGAGAACCCAATTGGGAAAAACCAATTTGTTGGTTACACAATAAATTGGAAAAAATATGAGAACCATACATTAAATACTTCATTTGCTAATCTTCCATCAATTATCCTTCATATTATGTATGATTCTTTCAATTCATAATCACTTTCTATTTCTCTGTGTTTTCTTCAACTCGATCTTTTTCGCCTTATGCTGCCATGCATTTCACTTCTAATTGGTGTTATATACTACTTATATCGACAGATACAAGTAGCATACAGCATATTATTATTATTACTAATACCGATTTTACCCTGATCAATTGATAATTACCTTAATAACTAGTTTGAAAGTTATGATTATTTAATTTAGATTATCAACTTCTAATGAAATGTATTTTTAAATATATTACACTTGATACGTTAATCCCATTTATGATATGAAAGAAATATAGTCGATGATATTTGATCAATAAACACAATTGAACACTTTGAACCTTCTTCATTTTCTGTTTTCTCTATATTTTCTTTTGTGATAATATTGACATAATTATAACACAGTAAACAGATCGCATTTGTTAATCATTTTTTTCTAAAAGGTCATTAGGAACATTCTTATGGAAGAAATAACTATGTGAATTAAAAACAAACAAACAATTGATTTATCTGTGTAGATATAACAATATTAATAATTTTTATGAACAATATTTATATGAATCAAACATACCTAATTTGATGTGCTATAGCTAGAAATGCTAAACCATCACGCCATGAATGTGTAAAATTTGTTAAGCTAATACCAGGATATCTGTAAATATATCATTGGAGAGAAAGAAAGAAAAATTATAACACAACAAAGATAACTTAAATTTATGGTAATATCAGATAGGATTTTAATAATGTCAAATTATAGCTAGTAGTGGAATCAGAAATAGACATCTTGTCCCATTTGATGTTCATCAGTTGGATGTATCCACATAACAATGTTGATGTTTACATTGTAATTCACATTAAGCATCTATTGTTCTAAATGCTAACATTATGTTCACTAAGCTACCGGGTCTAGATAGCCAGTAATTAGTTCAACTAGCATGGCGTTTATTTGTACGAGTTTATATTCTCCTTTCGCCGGTGTTCAGGACTGTTCATGATCCCAGTAATGTCGGAAACGCTTATCCCTTATACTCAAAACAAGGGATTTCCGCGGTTCCGATGACGCGAAAGTAAGAACACAAAGACTGGTATAAGCGAAGATTTATTGACCCGCAAAACACGACGACGATTATAGTCGAAAATGCACTCATTTATATATTGATTCATACACAATTTTTTGATGAATAATTAAAATAGAATTACATATACGGGAAATACTCAGTTATAACAAATCACATACTGAACATAGTTCATGTCAATGGAATACAATAATATCGTATATTATACGGAATAAAATATCATAGAAGAAAAGAAAAGAAATACTACATTGGTAATCATTACATTGAATTAAAACGGAAGTAACGATGAACAAAACTTATAATGAGTACATCAATCGAAAATTGACTTTTCTTTCCATCATACCACCTCCCCTTCTTTTTATGAAGACTGTGTTCAGATCCATCTTTAAATTTTCTGACTTTATTCTCCCGCACGAAATAATGTTGGGTCCTCATATTCCCAAGCTACAGTTAGTTTTACTCTATTTAAAACATATTTCCCATATTGAATAGAGAGTAAACTAGAACTGACTAGATGGTGAGGATCAACGACACTAGATATGAGGTCATTAGGATTTGATTCTTCTGAAACATTTTCATCAGATCTCTTGAAAATTTCATTAATAGATAATCGATCACTAGAATAATCAGCATCTATCAAAATTTTATTAGGTTCTTGATCATCATTTGATGCATCCGACAAAATTTCCTCATTTTTGTAAGAAATTCGATCAAAAGCATGTGTCATTAAGATCACTCATATCTGGTAAAACAACTAGAGAACCCCGATAAGACATTCATCAGGAACTTTTGTCGTAGAATGATGAGCTCCATTTGATGTAACTGTCTTCATTATGATGCTTGATTCATTTTCTGTTTTTTTGTGGGCGGGTACTGCAGTAATTTCATGAGGATTTAATAAAACATCGTCTTTCTGTGAGCTGGACAATCCAGTGTTTGTACATGGTGTTTCGGGGACAATGGGATTCGAACCAACGACAGGGCATGTCTCTGAAATGGAAATTCGTGGTCCATTGGACGGATCATGTACCACTGCTATTGTTTTGTTTAAATTATTACTTGCCGAGCATTTATGGAGGCCTTTACTGACACATTCATCCATCCTGCAATCATTTTCCAGCTCTGTACGCAATTTAGAAATTAGTTCATTTATTCCCATCACATCTCCAAAACATGGATGATTCAGCAGCCGTGTGCGTAATTTGTCTATAAATTCCAACTGATTCTTTTTAAAACGGTGCTACTGTCGCTGAAATAGCAACTGTAATTGATCGGAAGGGAGAGTCATTTCCTGTTTCTGTATAAATCAGTACAGTAATGAAAAATACTGTATGACTAATTAACAACCAATGTCGTTCAAGGACACCGACGACAATTCTGTATGCTGATTATCTTGGGTTTTTTTTCCACCCCGTCGCCATCGATATGTCTTCTTTTTGAACGCCAGATCCGGCTCCTAAACTCTGCTAGTAACTCCGAAACGCAAATGACACCCGAAAATAAGTAATTCTGTATCTCGGCCAGGTTGAGTTTTCATAATCTGGTTATCAAAATCAAAATTTCCAGCTATAGGATAGCAATAATTATCCTGGATTCTTAGAAGTCACACTTAAATCTGAAAATATACATGATAGTTGTATGTTGCTGATAATTTATACAGCAAAAGTTAATGCTCTTCGACCAATCCCTTGCTCATTAACAATTAGTATATAATCACGTTGTATTGTTAATAATTAATTTTTCTCATTAAAATTACACATGTTACAAGTTTCTAATTTTTTTCTTGTTAAAAAAACATTTTTTAAAGTCTTCCCATAAATTAAGAAAAAAGCAATACCATTTGGGAAAATTAACAAATCATCAGACATGGCTACAACATCCCAAAATCTGTAAATTTAATAGTGAAGTTCATTGTATAACTCAGTTGGAAATTCTGTAATAAGTTTTTAGTGTATCTCGAATGAAATAACCAGACTATATATTATTTCATTAATGAAGAATAACTTCTCGTTCGATATCGAATTCAAGTATAAAATATGTTTTTTAGCCTTTTCATATTTCTGTTAAATTCTAGTTTTTTCTACAAAAACCACCATTATTATTACTGTTATAAATATCATTGATAGAACTGTTTGGTTCTCGTGTGTGAAATTACTTGCGTGCGTTGCTAAGGAGTTCTATAATAGGACGAGACAGATATCAAGTGCTTTCAGGTTTTCAATGGTGATTTAGCTAAGATAAGTTTGTGCTTTAAACTTTAAAAACCCACATATCTCCTATGCTAAAAGTGTAATTGCGAAATAACGTAGTTAAGTTCTATTTTGTTTTCTTTGTTTTACATTGAAGTTTTCACAAATTGAACAACAAACTATCATTCTCGTTAATTGTTATTGAGTAATAACTAATAAAACAAACTGCGACCAAACTCTATTTAAAGGAACGAAGACTCACTGCAATGCATCTGTCATGCGTGAATATGGAGACATTAGATGACTGTTTTTCAAACAACTGCTTTGAAACAACCCCCAATCGAGAAATGTTACATCGGACAAGGAGTTTGAATTTTTTCTTTCTTTACGTGAGCATCGATTCGCCAAAATACACACAGCATATTTTTTTATATCAATACATATAGACAACTGTGGACACTTATTTAACCGAGATAAGTTTAAAATCTTGGATAAAGTCAACACAAAGGAGATAAGGGAATTCTTAAAAGTTTTGAACTCAGGTCAATTGGGAACCGATAAACACACTGATCTGAACCTAATTTATTAACCATTTAAAAATCCTAAACAACGGTTAGTCCAAGAACCAGGTTAGTAACAAAGATAATCAAAATAAATATTCAGATGATGATAAGACGTGTTGAGGAAAACCACTGAAATATGTTGTCGGCAAAACAAGTTGCGGCGAAACCATAACTTACGAGCAAACCAGTCCGATTTAAGGTGACACATCTTGGATTTTGGCTCGAAATTCATTCACCCATATGGTTAGATAGGTTTTCAGCATTATAGTTGATGTCAGTTCGTGACAAAAACCCTAACTCTAATTCCTAACATTAACTTCTCAATCTAAGTCCCAATTCTAATCTTTCACACTAATTTATAACCCTCTTTAGACCCTAATAGGTAAGTTAACTTTCCCAACGTCACTTTGGTCGTCCAAGTTACTAGTCATATGCGGAGTGATTGTTACAGATCTCTTATATTTAAAGCTTGTGTTGACGGTGTTGTTTAGAGGTGTAGTGAAAGATTCACGACTGAATGAAATAAAATATCAAAGATAAAAGTATTTCAAAATATTAAGTCATATAAAACCTGGATAGTTAAAAAAGACTAAACTGCAGGATGGAGATCAACGAATAAATGGTAATCGGATTATCAGATTTATATGGCACGGTTTAGTTAATGGCAATACTAAAATAATATTCAAATTTATCTTTACCACCGCATAACTCGAACTCTATTTCTAGTTACTATCTGAAAAAGAGCATTCCTGATATTAAAAAACATATTCAATAATAAAAGTAACAATAATTCTCTAATGTTTTAAACCTAGATGATCCATACATAAAAAATGATTTAGATATTGTAGGATAATAATACGTTTTCAGTAGGTGACACCGAGAACCGTACGAAGCCTTTGGTTTTAAAAGATTTTAATTGTTATTTACTTCCAATACTTGGTTTTTAAACTTTAACTGTCATTAGCTCTAAGTGTTGCGTTGAATTTTCCCAGAAAATAACAACATATTACAAAAATTTACTAGATTTATCAACAAGTGAAGGAAGGACTGTTGTTCAACAACTAAGTATGGTACTCACCCTTCGGTCACAGCAATACACCAAGCCAGTAACCGTTTATCCTGACTTATTAACCATCGATCTACACATGGCGAACGTGTTGATACAAGAGCAGCTGGCGCTGAATGACCAGTCGATGAAATACTTTGACTTCTTTTAGTTATTGTCGAACCTGATGAACTAATTGATCCAACTAAGTTTGTTGATGGACCAGTTCCAGCTCGAATAGCAACAATTAAAATCCATAGCGTATCTAAACCAAGAAGTAATAAACTGTATTCAGTTGTTCTGGAACTCGGTGAATATTCCTTAAGTAGTTTTTCTGAATCAACTGTTGAGTTTTGTGTAAATTCAGAGATAGCTGACTGAACAACAGTGGCTATTTCATTCTAAAAAAAAGATAATTTTAGGTGAATAAGAAAATGAAAAGAAGAAAACACATTTAAACATGAAGACTAAGCATTCAAAATATAAGATTTTTTGTTTCCTTTATAACTGTCAGCATCAAGTTTTGTTTGTTATCATGCGTTAATCCAGTGCATTACTACACAAGTCGATTTAGATTGGCGTTTATGTCAGAAAATATCCATCAGTAGGATAGATGATAAGCATTGAACAATGGATGATGAAACAGATCTTACTAATCAAATGATACATGTATATAGCACAGGATAACTTTAAGATCACTTCCTCTTTAGTTATCATCAATGGTAACTGGTAGTATACTGTATAATTTTTCACTGGAGAGCAAACATTTTGGGTGTTATTATCAACTAGCTAACATATACATAACGTATCTACGTAGATAAACTCAATGAACAACGGATAAGGTTAGCACAGAATATGAATCAATTGTTCAGTCGTCTAGAGCATTTCAACTAAACACATTGAATAAACAAATGGCTAAATAAAACGATAAATACCGTAGAAAAATATATTTTTCCCAATTATCGCACAGGGTAACAATGTATGCATAACCATGAATTTATTTTAGTCAGTTTGCTCCCTCTGAGCTCTATAACTCACAGTAATTTCAATAGTTTCGTGCACCTTAGATGGAGAGCCTTTGTTTATTTTTCTCTACATGTTACTGTTTATGGATCAAACGTCTCATGGAATGATTTCTTACCTTAAGATAACTTTTAACTGATATTCAATTAGTTCCTATGTTATTCAAGAATGTATATTGGAATCAACCCCGCGTGAAAAAATATAAAATAACTAAACACATTGTCTAGTCATTTGATTGGGATTATACCAAATAAATGATTCAATTAAAATTTAGTTTACAAATACATTATTTTCACTTTTTTTTTTCTTAACAGAGAATAATATTTTTTGATGGGTGAGATCATAAGTCAGTGGAGGCTAAACCCCCATGGAAAGCCTGGAATCACTAGACGGCCATTTCGTCCTACTGTGGGACTCCTCAGAACTGAATATCCACGATCCCGACTCGCGAGATTCGAACCCAGGACCCAGCAGTCTCGCGCGAGAATAAATAACATGTTCACGAAACAAACTATTCCTCATAAGTAGCAAACTTCCGCGATACAAGGTGAGATATTTCAACATGTTTTTCGCATGACTTCTTTTCGTCTCGTTAGTAAACGTAGACGAGTAGACATTTCACGACAAAGACATGGTTAAAAACAAATAGAATAAATTCTACGAGGTCTAACAACAGGTTTTATCGATCAATATTATTACTGCTATTTAGGCATACACTATCTAAGAAGCATAAGAGTGAATTATGTGTATGTATTCATACTTGCACAGATGTAAATTGTGCATGTACATATGTACGTAAAAGCAGGTTTATAACTTCCAAATTATACGATCAATAAACCAGTAAATAAGATGTACTACATACATATATATAAAGACGCAAGACTGCACAAGTACACAGAGATGCATTTTAAGAAATCCAATACAATTACAAAAAAGTATGGGACTTTACAAAATCATGTACAGACAGCATATTTCAGTTCACTTTCGGTGACTAGACTTAAGTGTTTAGGTAAATGGAACAAAACGAAATGACCACAGGTCAAAGGTTAACGAAATTTGAAAATGTAAAACTGTTTTTGCTTTGAAGTGCGCATCATTAAAGGGTATTAGAAATTTAGCTAGTATTCCATTAGTAACTGATGGCAAAATATTATACATATAAGTTTAAATCGCATTTACACCCCGGGAAATTTCGCATTTTATTTTTAAATAAATGATTTTTTCAACCCATCTTAGGAAATTTCCTATCCCATTTCGCCCAATAAAATGAATAGTTTTGAAACGGAAGATAATGGTTATTGTTTTATGAAATGTAATATAAAACGTAATAATTTCTTCAATATTTACATTTTCTCATAACTTTGAAAGTTAGTAATTTACCTAGCACTAACTATATAGTCTGTATGTCCTAACTGATAGATTTAAATTAATCAATTTTATCATATTGTTTCCTCAAGGGTTTACTGACTCGGTTGTAACCTCAGGATGTCTTTAATATGTTGTTCGGTGTAGGACATAATGATGAGTTGTAAAGTTAGCTCACATCCTTTGTTAGATTTTGAGAATCAAATGGATGATGATGATAATAATCTGAATTAATTTTTCTGAGTTAATACAAATCACATAAGTTTCACTACTGTTTTCCTGGATGAAGTTGGTTTTGATGAGACAAATCGATAAATCAATGAATCTTATGAAAATAAAAACATGTTAAAATTAAGGGCAACCAGTTTTCAGTTCATGCTATTGATCTTAGTAGAACTTAGAAGTCTAAGCGATAATATTCTAAACACCACATATCAGATTCATTATTATTTACACTTAACACTATCTGTGATGTATGCTATTTATGCTGACAGATAAAAGTAGTATGTAGCCACGATCGAAGTGGAATGCCTGGCAGCAGAAGATTGAGTTGAAGGGAACAGGAAAGAGTTCGGAGAGCAATCAAAGTAACAACAGAATTAGAGGAATATTTGTGTATGTAAAGGACAACGCATATAAGATATACAAATGGTGTATTTTTTGTGTGATTTTCATATTTTACTAACTCACTGTGTATTTTGCATGAAACAATGAATTAGTTAATCCCGACAAGTCTTCGTTCACTACATATTCAAATTCTCATTAATTACACACATATTTCCTAATGTCGGAACAATTAAATACTTGAATCAACAAAACGGAAAAAAATTGACTGTGAGGAAATTGATATCACTCTTTACCTCAATGTTGATTAACGACCAGTTGTTTCATATGGCGTTCGAATATAATTGATGGAAAATTTCTATTATATTAAACCACAGATATATGAACGAAGAATACTCTTTTCAGGTTCTACTATTATATAACCAAATTAACAATTCGTAAAGTCGACCACGTTTAAGGCATAGTTATAAGTTTAAATGATGTAATTTGCCTCAAATCTGGTCGATTTTATGGATTATTAATTTGGATATATAACTGTAGAACATAAAAAGAAATTACTGAAAAGAATATTCCTCGTTCATATATCTATGTTATAATTGATGTAGCTTTTTTCTAAAGTTACAATTTCACATTGTATGGCTATGAAATAGTCTGATAGATTGTTTTGAAAGAGTAAAATTCTAATGTAAAAGTACAAATTTTTGAAATCCAATCAAAACAATTAATACTAAATGGATTTCAATTAATCGAATTACAACGACGCACCATTTACAAGTATCTAACGAATTATTACTTATAAAAAAACTGTGTTCTTAATTACATGAGTACACATTTTGAAATAAAAGTTAACTAATCACTTATTACTGAATAGGCATAATCATGCCCCTAAATTTTCAGCAATAGTGGTCAGGAATCACAGTAATTATGACAATAATGCTAGCGAATAAGTTTTATACGTGTTTATGAGTAAAATTAAACTTTGCGTCAACGGTAATTATGCAAAAACGAAAACGTGTTGAGTTCTAGTGTACTTCATCAGCACAAATTGATCTGAACAAGAAATATATATATATATATATATATATATATATATATATATATATATATATATATATATGCGCATGTTGAAAGTGGTATTACAAAGTTCACATTAATAATAATATGCTTCTCAAGTGTGGATAGATGCAATTCAGAATACTTTCGCTGCCAAATGAGAATTTGTTTACTGTGCAAACTAAAAGGAGAGTTGAGCAGACACCTTTTGTTATTTTGATGTACAGAATAGAAATGTATGCTATGCAGTAAACATTTTAGGAATTGAACTAAAAACGGATTCAACAGAAAAACGAATCATAAGCATGCTTAGAGAACTTCTAAAAAGGAAAATGATTGCTAATTCTACTTACAATGATCCTAGACTATATTGCTCACGTCTACCTCATATGTATGGTTTACCAAAAGTCCACAAACATGACGTTCCACTTTGACCTATTCTATTAATGACTAATTCACCGTATCACAAAGTTGAACGGTGGCTAGCAGAAACACTAGAATCAATCCGCCGGAAATTAGCAACATATACGTTAAGAGATTCATTCTAGTTTATTGATAGACTAAATTGTTGCAATGTTGCCGATAATTCAATGGTTTCTTTTGATGTAATATCCTTGCTCATCAATAAACCACTTTCGGAAACCATTGATATAGTTTGTCAGAATTATGATCTAATTTACCAGCCCCAGAATTCAAAAAACTACTACTAATGTGCAGAACAGACGTTCAATTCCAGTTTAATAATACCATATATCGTCAAATCGAAGGCTTAGCAATAGGACATCCACTAGGTCCAATCAAGGCAGATAATTTTATGAGGTATCTTGAAAACACAGTGCTTAAACTGACGATTAACGAAACGACGGAATACTCCAGATATGTTGATGACACATTTATTGTCTGTAACATTTACATCATTGAGTTTTATTCCAACTACCTTCCAAATTAATAATCTAATTTTATCAACTAAGCTCTACTCATTTTACTCCTACCAATGTTTACTTATTACATAATCACTTGTTTCTGGTCGTTTGAACTGTTGTCACAGTCAGAGTGGTAGAATATTATTTTACATAGGGTATATATATACAATATTCAGTCTATTAAATTTAATTACACCCTTGCTATACTATACTAAAATTTCTTCAACATAACTTCCGACCAAACCTCATGCAAGTAATTTAAACCCGTTATGTAATTATGATTTTAAATATCACAAGCAGATTTGCATTGTTCGATTACTCCAGGATGCGCGTTTCGTCCTATTTGGGACTCGTCAACTGGATGTACCTGCATCACACAGTTGATGTTCACTACGAAACTCAAACCCAATACCGTTCGCTTCAAAGCCATCACGTTGTCCACTTAGCTACCTAGTCTTGATAGCCACCTGCTTGTACAATAAGGTGACAGGAGGCACAGATGCCAACAAGAGACTAACCAATTGCAGTCTTAAACAACAATCGGAAAATACAAGTAAACAATACTACCTGAATTTAGCCTTTTCAATTTATACTAACCATGTCATTAGTCAAAGAATAAATTTAAAAAATACTCATATCGGGTTAAACACACTATTTTCACTGTTCAAAAAAGTGCTATTTCTAGCCTCTTTCAATATTTTTCTGTTCATACATTATGTATATATTGCATAAAACATTATGATTTTCACTTGATAATTTTATTCGAATAATTTAAAACTATCTTTATATATTTTCTATGAACAAATCATTATTGTATCTTTTAATTTTCCAGATAAATAAACAAATAAAATGAAAATCAAGGCTTGAAAAGAAATTCTAAACGAAGAAAAACTTTTTTCTTTCAATAACTAAATGAATGAAAAAAAATTATATTTAATACTGAACATAATTTTATTATTAAGAAAAGGAATCTAATATAAGTGAAAAAACATATATTTTATTTACGAAGTTGCGCCACCGTATACCATTTTCTTCAGTGGGTTGATATCTCACAACAGACCTGGTTGAACTCCACTGGTAACGGCTACTCACTAGAACTCTAGGAGTATCTCTTGAAGTCAGTCACTAGTGAGCATATGATTATTATCATGGATCATGGATGCTCACTGTTGAGGAGTCTCATAGTGGGACGAAACTATAGTCCAGTGCTTCCAGGTTTCCCATGGTAGTCTAGCTTCAATTGACTCATGATTTCAATCTGTGAAATTTCTAATATATTTTATTTGTAAATATTAACAACTGTTAATAAAATGAAGTGTCATAAGTGTAAAATGTACTATTGATATAAAAAAATAATCACTATGTATTCATTTGTTTAAATATTAGTCAATTAACAATTTAATATAAGATATTACATGTAAACAATTTCAATCATGACATATTCCAATAATTTAAATTCAATTTTGTTTAATTAGCATCCTTCAATTATTTAACACTGATCATAATTGTCTATGTAATTTAAATATTTCTAGGTTAAGTTGTTAAAATTTAGTAATTAGAGTAAAAAAACAAAAAAAGAAAAAAGGAAAAAAACATAAACTATAATACTTTCAATTAGGGCTACTTTTTTTAATTGCCTTATAAATGAATTTGTAGTCAGGAAAAAAGATTTTTTTTGAAAAAAGAATTATACAGAAAATAAAATTTCCCAATATTAGTGTAGTGTGTTATTTAAAAACCAAAAAAAGTTATTACGAAAGAAATGGAACCAAATAGCTTCAATGAAATTCTATTCAAATTTGATACTAATTAGTAAATTAATCAAACTCAGAAATCACAATTAGTTTTTTGTTACCATTATGGAAATTTTTCAGTTATAATTGTAAGTTTTAGGTTTTATTTTATTTGTGGTAACTAGTTTACACTCTACACACACATTGAATTTTTATAACTTTATAGTTCATGATAAAAATCAACTTTAAAAAGAATAATTTCTACAAACCTCTAATTTAAATTAATATTGACCAGAGAGTTGAAGTCGTAAATCAAGTGAAGCTAGATCACGATAGAAAACCTGTAGGCCGTTTCGTCCTGTTGTGGGACTGCCCAGAAGGGCACATACACGATCCCGCCCCGTGATATTCTAATCCAGGACCTATAGATCTCGTGAGTGAACGCTTAACCTCTAGACCACTGAGCCACGAGGCGGAATCGTGGATGAGCACTACTGAGGAGACCCACTATGAGATGAAACGGCCGTCCAGTGCTTCCAGGTTTTTCATGGTGGTCTAGCTTCAATTGGCTGATGATCTCAACCATTAAAATTACTATAATATCCACAAAACCCCTACTGATACTAACCATAGGATTTTTTGTGAATAGTTTCAGAAATGTTGTTTCGAATATCAAGTTAAAATCTATCATTGATTAGTTTCAGTATTGTCAACAGTGAGAAAAATATAACTAATGACATGGAATGATGATCACACTATATTTTTGGTTGACACTGAAAATGTTAACTAACAAATTCTGACCCAATAATTAGAAAGCCCTGTACTCTATAAAACTTATGAAATTTTTGGTTACAGATAAATGTTGATGAATAATCTCCATATCAGAATGATACAGCCACCTAATACACCATAATTTAAGTGGAATTGTAGCAGGTATCAGTTCATAATGAAAACTAATCTCAAATAAATAATCTAAAGGAACCCCTTACTTTTATGGAAGAAATAACCTAAACCGGAACTGCTTTAAAGTTATTTAGTTATGGTTAGCGTTATATATGATCGAAGACTAAAGGAATGTTAGCTTCCAGGATGATCATCATATACATATTATTGTTGTAACTAGGTTATTATGTTTATTCCTTTTTATCATAAGCTTTCGATTACCCATTAATTGCTGTTGTGTGATTTACTACTCTTAATCTGCTGCCAGTCTCTTCTATTTACAACCACATTTTACCCTGATCATGCATAATTGTTACTGTTATTTTATAGTATGATGTGGTATGGTCTTATATGTACATAAATGAATGTCTGAAATTTAACAACGATCTTGGACTGGTGATCATTGGTCTTATATTCCTCCTCTTCATTCGAGACTGATTACTACAAGCATAAGTATCAGTCTTCTTGTCTATGTTGCGTATCGGTTGCTTCAAGTCAACCATGAGCATTGTTTGTTGTTAGGAATTAACACCTAAGACGAAGTTCAATCATAATTTTTGATAACTATCATAAGTCCGTGCATATTACTTATAAGTAAGATGTGCACGAAATGCATAAAAATTCAACTGTTTATTCAAATATTTTAGAGTATGTGAATATAAAAAATAATTTCGATTTACCAATAAATATTTTGTTTGATGAAACGACTCTATAACTACAAATCTAGGATTTTTCTGCCTAAACAGACAAAATTGTCCTTTTGATCATAATTTTGGCTGATTTAATTTGAATAACCGACTTTTTAACTGCTGATAAAGCGAAAGACCTCCTATTCTAAATACAATACAGATTTTTTATATAGTTTAAAAGTGCCTCGGAGGAACAATACTTAGTGATTGACTTTTATTAGTTTATCATGTTTGTAAGTTTGACCTTAATAGTTGCACGTTTTTGGAAGCTGAAGTAAGCAGATCTATAAATTTAGATAGCATTTCAACAAATATATATATATCACTTTCTCACCCCATATAGCTTTTCTAGAATAGTCATTGCACGTTCCAAGTGAGGGATATAATCTGGGAATGTCTGTTTACTCTAGAAAGGAAAAACAAACAAGGAAACAGGTAAGTTTTAGATAAATTAATAATATTTATGTAATTTTTATTATTTTATCTGAATTAATATTTTTTATCTATTGTATGCGAGTAACATAGTAGTTAAGATTGACGGTTTAATCGCGTTCAATGTATTAGGAAAATTATTCTTTACTGATATCATTCTATTGACTATGTGCTGTTGACCGATTAACGATATATTTTAAAGTTTCATGACTGGATTAAAGAAATTATGTTTAATACCACAAATACTTGTTCAAATCTTCAACTATTCGATGATACTATGTCTCATCTTTTCAACGAGATTGATTTATAAACAATAATGTCGTTCACTATGTTAAACATTGTTACTGAATTTAAATTTATCATTAGCAGGGAGTCATTCAAATACAAACCTGAACAAATAGTTGATAATGCAAACCTTACATGAAATTGCCATTCAGATTTCGTCACTGTCGTTACACAGTATTGAGTTCACTGATAACTTAAAGATTGTTTGAGTATTCTTGATGCTGTTCATTTAAACAGTTAAATCTCACTCATGTTGAATAAAGAATAATGAATCAGTTTGTGCAAAACTACACCTTCAGTTTTTAAAATTATCCAGATCAATGAAAAAACCAAGATACTATAATATAATAAACTCTTTAGAGTGCAAACATACAAGTTATTGTGATGTTATAACTCTTGCTAAAAAGATTGCATAAGTCTGATGTTTTTAAAAAATGCCAAAATCAAAATGCATTCATCTAACTGCTATCTACTTATTCATAATACAACAATAAACTGAATTGTTTAACTACTATTATGAAATAGTTAGTATTAATCTTTCTTTATTTTTCATGTTTTAAGTAGCTGATTGACATGAAATTTGATTGTTTCCTTAAACGAGTTTTGAATAACCCGACATCAAATGCTGTAATGTAGTTTACAAATCAGTTCATAAACTTCTATGTAGTCATTGAATTTTTTTACGATAATGTTTTACGTATAACAACTACAAACCCTGAATTCAACGTCAATACAAATCTATCATTGAAGTTAACTTGGTATGCCAATCTTAAAACATATTCACGTAAGCGAAGATAGATGGTGGCTAGCAGTGAAATCCAGGACGTGCGTTTCGTTCTATTTGGGACTCGTCAAATGGAAGTACGGACATCCCTAAATTGATGTTTACTTATAATCATTTAATGCTGATGCCGTTAATTTCAAAGAAAGACTAGCATTATACTATAGTTTCGTTAAATTAACCTTAATAAAAAGAAATATTCACATTCCTAACAGTAAAAGGTACTACTTATTGTAACCCTATCGTGACTACTACTGTTATTATAAGTAATACTGATTTAATCAGTGATATTAATGCTAAACAACTACGTATTAATTTAATTATCTTAATTGATTATGATGATTCGCAAAATAACCACTATAATGGTTTATAAGTTGATCGTATAGACGTTTACAAAAAAACGCTGTTTTAACAATGTCATCGTTTGTTAACAAACAATACCCGTGTATCGTTGTACACAGCAGGAAAATGAAAATAATTATAAATAATTATAATTATAAATAAATTAAATAAATTAAATAATAAATAAATAATCAGTTTCGTTCCTCTACAACAAAAAAGGAACCTTATCAAGACACTACATCATAGAATCAAGACTATATGCACTATGGATACGATTTAGATGAAACTAAGACATTGTTTACAACCCTGAAAGAAAACGGATATCCAGAGAAATTTATAAATAAAAACTTAGCTAATAAAAGACAGCGTATAGAATACCCAACGGTAAATAGAAAGCCTCTATATATACGCAATTTCCGATTTGTAATCACAATTTTCTCTCTCTCTCTCTCTCTCTCTCTTATCCCATGTTGACCATATTTATTCTGATCATTTATCTCACAATTTCATTTCGCTTATAAACTGATTCAAGTTAACACTTCATATTAGTCAGCCCCAACATTAACGATTTTATTTTATATAACAAACAATTCCTGATTCACATATTACAATTTCCAAATGATGTATTTTGCCTTAAATCTGGCCAATTTTATGGATTATTAATCTGGATTTATAATTGTAGAACCTGATGAGAAATTATTGAAAAGAATATTCTTCGTTCATACAATTGTGTTGTTAAATAATTATTGACAAAGTAAATGATCTATATAACCTAAACAAAAAAGGGAACTAAAAGAGATTTAGTGCATTTAGTCTTTACTGAAACTTTTTCAATGTTAATAACGTTATTCTACTGATTGTTAATGATGTCTGTATTTGTTAACATGAATAATAGTTAAGATCAGAACTATTGTTAGAATTGTATAGTGAATAAATAATTTCCGTAAAAAGTAGGCATTCAGTAAGTAAAGAAATGAAATATAAAAATACTTCACTTTCACTAAGTTTTTAATCATGCTTCTGCACTTGTATATATTTTCGGGATTATTAATTTTATGTTAATAGTCAATAGTATTTCAGTAAAAGTGAACTGATTAACAGTAATGCGGAGTATCGAATTATTTGCACTTTAGAAATATAAAAACAAATAATATGTTATGACTAAGTTCAATGATTTTATTTGTCAAATAAACTGAAATAGGTTTTTATAAAATCGGTACATCAAATGATAAATAATTAGGGATTTGCAGAATTTTATTATGTAATATTCACTTAACTTTACAGTTAATCCCTCTCAATAATAAATAAGAACAAACTATTTGAATGAGTCTCTTTTGTGTTTATCTACTCATTTGGATGCTCATATATTGCTATGTTCACTAGTCAAACAAGATTGTTATCGAATTTCTTAGAAATATATTACACCCCATTGCACAAACTAGCGGATACCAGGACTCAGTAACTAAGTGGATAATGTGATGGCTTTAAAGCGAACGGTATTAGGTTCGAGTTTCGGGGTGAACATCAACTCTGAGATGCAGGTATATCTAGCTGACGTGTCCCGTATAGGACGAAACGCACGTCCTGAATTCCACTGCTAACTACCATCCATTTTTGCTTATAATGCTTATGACTTAAGGCAGTATCGAGGTAATCTGCACAGGATGCAGATATGCCAATGAGATAGTGATCAATTGCAGTCCTAAAATACTAACAGGAAGATTCAAGCAACCAATACAAAAATGAATATATTACATAGTTTGACAAAAGGCGATTAACATAAATTATTAGTTTTACAATTCTTTATTGATGGATTCTGGACACCAAATTGACATGAATAGAGTTTCTCTAACAACATCTAAGAGTACCGCGTAACTTACCGAATGATTAATTTATTTATCTACTAAGTACGGGTAAAATCAATATAATCAAACAAAATCTCGATGTTCAAGAAACATGTACAATCACTCTCATTACCTAAATCTGTAAACTAGCTTGTACTTATAACTAGTGCTTATTTGATTAAATCACGGAGATTTAGAAGAGACTTTTTATTCTCCTAATTTTCAGAATCTCACTGGACTTTTAGCAAAATTTGTCACTACAATGGTACTGATCTTATTATCAAATTTGAAACATTCATATCAGTATGATTTTTAAAAATATTTCTCCTTTCAGTTCGTTTATTCAATAATTCATTGGTGTCTTTTTACAATGTAGTCTGAATGATGGCTAGCAATGAAATCCATGGTGAGTTTATTCTCATTTGGAAATTACTACCTGGATGACTCAGTATTTGAGTGTTGACGTTTTCAATACGCTTTGAATCTAATATCTACTGCTTCAAACAAGTATTTTGGATCCATTAGAAATATAATCAAAATGTAATAGCATCCAAGTCCATGACATTTGATCAAAACAAACTCATATATAAAGGGCTTGATCGATTTACCATTGAATATCAATATAACGAAAACTGAAAATATTTTAGCTATTTATTTATTTATGTATATTATTGTTTCCATCTTTTAGATTAGTTGTATTCTACTCAAACGGTTTGGTATTACAAGAAATAAAATAGCGAAGAATTCTAGAACACATGTCGCTCTACCTGAAACAACGAAGTATGAGTTTCATGTAGATGATAGAGTTTAGGGTTTTCAGTAGACTACCTTAAAATATGATTCGGAACTAAATAAACTCCTTCGTGACATTCAACTATTTTGCGAATTTGTCGACAGGAATAAATGTTTAATGATAGTTCAGCTTATGATATCCGGAAACTGAATATTTCAGAAAAATCTAATTATTTTGTGTATTGATATCAGTTGGACAGTGTAAAAAAAGGGACTTTTTGTACAACACATATATTTTAGTCTTTTAAATTTCTTTTGGCAAACACGTTTGATTAAATTTAGGATTTTCAAATATTTTATAAGCTATATTTTAGCCTAATTATTTGTTAACTCTAACCGACTCTATAAAATTTATTACTTTAGTACACAATGGGCCTAGAATGCAGTGGATTCTGGCTGCTAAAGACATATAAGAAGTTTTAAAATTCAAAGTTGTATGAATAGTTTTTGACAGTGACTCAGAAACCCAGGTGAATTAATAGAAGTTATAACAGTGTACTTTGAACCGAATTATCGGTCTTCACAAATTAGTTACCCGACGTATTTATACATGTACGAATTTACAGACATAAAGTACATTATTGTATACGAGTAGTTTTCCAAGTTAGTTAACTTGAAAATAATCAGTGGAGAAAACGAGTCATCGACTTATTTAAGTCTCGAAAGTCTGTGCGTACAATTTAACTGTCTTTGGCAAATTTATATTCATTTGAATTTCTTAAATTTACACTGTAAGAAATCAAATTCATTAGATACTAACTTTTAAAATAAAGTTTCTGCTCATCGTTCCATAAAATTAGCATATTTGGATACTTTTTCTTCAAGTCATGAAGGTCATAAAGAGAGTTCTATTTTCTGAAAGCTTGATATTTTTTAAAATATAGTTTTCTTCACGAACTGGTGTTACATCAAGTGCACACTGGAAACTGATTTGCACAAGTAGTTCATTCAATATTACAGGTTTTCAACAATACAAACTAATTACTATATACTATTTATATCCTTTAATCACAAAATCATTTAGTTAAGTTAAAACAGAGCAAAAACAACAAGGTTTGACGGATAAAATGAACTCAGCACAGTTAACGACTTTTCATTAGCTACATACAACCTAAAATTACAGTGATCAGTATAATTGTTAATAAATGTTGAACATACTTTAGTTTGTAAAGTTTAAACAAAGTGCCTGAAACATAACCAAAATCATATATAAACTCTGCAAATTAAGGCATGTTCATCATTTGTTGATGATTATGCTAGCAATTATAACTTTAGGTTGTATTTTATTCTGCGAACATTGTTGTTTGTGCTCTGTTTAAATTTATCAACGGATTTAGTTGTTTGAAATTTATGTATATTTTTGATGACAAAATTATCAACGTTCTAACGTCACCAGACTTAAGATTGTTTCGAAATCCAAAACATCTTTCCTCTGTAGATGACAATGTTAATTACTAATCAATTTTCAGGACACTAGTGTATTTATTTATTCACTTACTTGCTTCTATTACTTTCGTGAAGGAGCATAGGTCATCCACCAGCATTCTCCATCCAACTCTTACCTGAGCAATCCTTTCCAGTTGCTATTTATTCTTTTATATCTGCTTCTAATTTTCGGCGCGGTGTGTTCTTAAGCTCTTTTTTTCGTTTCCCTTCAAGATACAGTTTGGTGATTTCCGCATTGTAAGTCCTATTCACTTTCAGCGTCTTTTCCTATTTTCCTTTTCAGCTGGAAGCTGGTTTGTTCTCTCCCACAGTAAGCTATTGCTGCTGGACATTCAGTATCTCTTGTGGATAATTGTTTATAAATACTCATACCTTTTTGATAATGGTTGTAGTAGTTCTCCGTACAGTAGAACTGTCTTGACGTAAGTATTAAAGATTCTGAATCTGATGTTGGTTAACAGTTGTTGTTGTTGTCTGCATCGATCCTACTTGTTCATCGATGATGTTTCCGAGGTACATGAAACTCTCCACTTCTTCCAGAGTTTCGCCATCAAGTGTGATTCAGTTGGTATTCTCCGTGTTGTATTTGACGATCTTAGTTTTTCCCTTGTGTATGCTGAGGCCTGTTGATGCAGAGGCTTCTACTACACTGGTTGTCTTCATCTGCATTTTTGTGTGTGTATGGGACAGAAGGGTCAGGTAATCTTCAAAGTCCAAATCGTCTAATTGCATCCAAACTGTCCATTTTATTCCATGATTCCCCTCAAATGTAGAGGTCTCCACAGTCCAGTCAACCGCTAGAAGAAAGAGGGAGTAGGAGAGCAGGCAGTCTTGTCTGACTCCAGTCCTCAGTTGGAATTAACCTGCCAGCTGTCTTGCATGCACGACTTTGCATTGTAGTCCGTCATATGAATCCCGGAAGATATTGACGATTTTCTCAGAAACACCATAATGTCCCGTAAGGTTTTCATATCCACGCTGTCAAATGCTTCTCACAGTCAAGGAAGTTAATGTATAGCTGACAAGAAAATACTTGAGGATCACAAGTAAAACTTAATAGTACATGATTATATATATATATATATGCGCATTTCTTTTTTATTTTGATATACTACTTACACATGCCACTTTTTGACTTGCTAGGTACTTGCATAAATTATACAAATTTTCATGATCAGTAAATATTTCCAATACATCATTGATTTCCTTGGCATTTGCCTACGGGGAAAATAGAAATAAATAATCGGACATAAATATACTTATCAATAATATGTCTGTGTTTATAAATATGAATTCATATACATATGTGAAAACTTTGAAAGAATTATTGCTACAGTCATATGTGAACCATATTCGTAAAAACAATATCAGCGACTGAAATTAAATATTCCTAATGTTTTGTCCAGTAGAGTGATTTAGGTTTTATCAAGAAACTTTTTCCACATAAAGTCAGACAGAAATATGATTTGAAGTTATAGCCGAAAGATGACTTGTTCACAATACTCGTACACGAATAAATAACATTATTATTTCGAACAACTGTTTTTTTCAAAATTTAACATAAAACAGTAAATTCTAGCAGAAAAGTATGATATAACGACATATTGACTAATCATTTACCTGTTTCAGTAATACATTCACCCAACGTTTGAACACTCTGACTTGGGTTTGAAGACATCTGTTATCTGTAGAAATGTAGGTTGAAAGATAAAAATGTTAAAGGTTATTACATAAGTCAGAACAAACAATATATATATATATATATATATATATATATATATATATATATATATATATATATATATATATATATGGTTAATTTATGAAGTGACTATTCGTTGATTATTTTCAGTCCGGAAGTAAATTTAGTGAAAAATTGACTTCAGAAATCTTCCTAATCGAAAAAACAAGTAACTGTATGATGATTTGGATGTTAAACGTTTAAAACCACAAATTAGCTAGTGTTAAACACTGAACCATTAAATTTCTACCTATCTTGATAGCTATACATATTACAGATCATCAGTTCGATCTCTTAATGATTAATCCAAAATATCTAATCGTTTAAATTAAAACAATTGTTCAATCCTCCATAATGATCAATTCAATTGTATAACCTTAATGTTGGTTCATTATGAAAATGAACTTTCTGCTAACTTCATCAATTTGGAGAAAATTGAGAAAAAAACAATTTGATTTCAGTCAATCATTAAAAATGATACAGGATACAAAAATCTGATCAGTGATATAATAAACTAGTTTCATACATATAATTTGTTGTTTTTCTCTATGTAGAAAAAATACAGATTACATAACAGGTGGTTTATAATTGTAATGACGTGTGGTTGAACATTTTCAACCTCATAATTATAATTACATAAGGTTATGAGATAAGTAACCGTTTTCTTTTTGTCTCAAAGTAAAAATTACTATATAGCAATAATATTAAATTATTTCCATGTTTTAAGGTATTTGATTGAACTTGTTAAGTAATTAGTGCTAATTGTTAAATGTTTTTTTTTAAACAAAAACCCCGCACTTGTCTAAACATAAATTTTATGAAATTTATAATGAAAATAAATTTATTCAATCATATGAGAAACAATTTGAAAATGTAAAATATGATCATTTCACTTGTCAATAAGTTCGTTAACATAGAGATAATTTTATATTCAAATAATTCATTTAAACACTTTACACCTTCATTAAAATACTAAAATAAAAATTTTATGATGAATCAGCAGTGCGCATCCACGATCCCGCACCACGCGGGGCTCGAACCCAGGACCTACTGACTTCGCGCGCTAGCACTTAACCATTAGACCACTGAGCTGGCATCCAACGGTATTAATTTCTAACTTCAACCAATCCACGAAGTTGCGCGCACTGCTGTGGAGTCCCATACTAGGACGAAACGGCCGTCCAGTGCTTCCAGGTTTTCCATTGTGGTCTAGCTTCAACTGACTCATGATTTAAATCTGTGAAAATTTCTAAAATCTCCACAAACCCCTTCTGAGATTCAGAATTGATCAAAAAATAACAATATGATCTAGTTTATTTTCTTTAAAAAGTTAAATATCTATACAACAATAAAATAAGATTGAGATTTTTGACAAACATTCATTCTATTACAATCAATGAATTCATCAAAAATTTGAATAACACATTTGATGAATTTACAGTTGTTGAAAAAAATCAAAGTTCTTAACATTTCAAACTTCCTTCAATAAACAGTTACTAACTTATATGCTAGTAGTAAAATCATCATCATCGAGTAGATAATAACATTTCACTTATTCAAGTTACAACTTAGTATGGTATATTTTGTCCTTACAAAGTCCTTAAATATTATTGTGTTTCCTTTAATCCATTATTAAATGACTATCCCATTTATTCTAAGTCTGAAAATATTACTATTTCCATGTATGAAGCAACCGGTGACTTGCTGGAATCATAATGTAAAAAAAATCCACCTTACAATGCTTAAGCAATTAACTAATACAATATACAATCTTCTATTCTACTGCTAGCTACCCACGATGAAATGTCCTCTGAATTCTCTATACTGACCAGTATGACAAAAATATTGTTATTACAGTTCCATATATGCATTCAAACACAAACAATGATTTGACAGAAACATTTTGTTGGCTCAAACCAACTAAATATGATTATTCGACAAACATAAACTCGTATATCAATAACATAATCAACTATTATGAATTTATAAATGAAACGTTTTGATTCTGTTAACATTAATTCCGACGGAATAATGTTTTATCTATTGAACAATGAATTAATCAATAACTCTCTTGAATACTACTTATGATAAACTAAAAGTTATGAACTGTATTGTAGAAACAACATGAGTTAAGGTAGTGCATTTACTGCCTAGTGTGAATAATTGAATTTCAGATACTATCTGTATCGCTCCTAACAGTTTAATATTCAAAAACTTCATTATAGAAATCACTAATTACATCAGTTTGAGAAAAAATAGAATCAATTAAGTGCTTGAAGATTAAACTGTTTTTCAAACTTTGCTTATTCAAATTAATGTTGATTTCCTCAGCAGCATAGTCAATATCAATGATCTATAGTTGATAACCACAGTTTTCTGGAAAATATGTATCACATCACAATATAGTGTGATAATGATCTGATATCAACTGGAATATATATATATATATATATATTTTGAAGAAGGTTACAAGAAAGTTAGGGACGACCAAACCAAAACGTTGCATCAATCCTTGAAGTCACTAACGTTTGGTCCGAACCACGTTCGTTGAGGCCCACGAAAATGTTGTAACCAATGGTTGGAGACTCTGAGTGACCTGGCCCATAATCGATTACAATTGCGTTGGTGTATACACTCTTTGTCTTTCCCTAAATCCTGAGATTAAAATTACTTTATACCTTTCTTTGTACGAAACTATTATATCATTATATACAATCTTTTATATATTACTACCATTGAAGTAACTACTATGAATTTAGTGTTCATCTTTTTGTACTAATGATCTATGGCAACTTGAACCGATGCATATATTTGCCTGGTCCTAAGTTGTAACTGATATATATATATATATATATATATATATATATATATATATATATATATATATATTTCAAAAAAATTTCTAAGAACCCCATGAAAACTTCTTTTTTAAACTCCAATAAACATCTGTCAGTTGCTAAAAATTGTAAAGAAAAATAACCCTGCAGAGAAAAATACACCTATCATCATGCTAACCTTTGCACAGTAATGATAAAGAAATCAATGATGCGCAAGTCACGTAAACGAATGACAATTTAATTAGAATTACTTTTAAAAATGTCCCATAAACTAGGTTAAAAAGTAAGAAAAATAATAAGACGAACGGAGGAAGTAAAACTTGACCAAAAGAAAATTGCTTTCACGATGTAAATGTCAGGCATTTTCTTTATTTTACGATTGAACAATCTATCGAATATATTAATGAATAGGTCATGAATTAATGTTCAGTTGTTGAAAAGGCTGAAGTTCTAAAAAGGTTATCGGATAATATTCATAAGTGTATGTTGATTTATTTCAATGTGCTGTGAAAAATACTACTTCAAAATTCTATCAATACCTATGCATATATCATAGTTTACATCATAATATTATGGTAAATTCTAGGATAAGATTGATTGTATCTGTAATTCACAACTATTGTTTATTAAGAGTTTACGTATGAAATATAATAAGATAATCACCCGGTCATCTTTCGACTTATGGTGATAATTTAAATGATATTATACATAATATATTATATACCATAAATTGTAAAGTGTTATCTAGGTTACATACAGTAGGTACTCCCAAGACTTTTCGATTACAGAACAGATATTGAAACAGACCTCTAAGTCTCAACGTCTTCTAGGTTACATAACTCGAAACCTTTATAACAGTGAGCCACGTATTTTAATGTACAAAGTTTGTGTTCGACCATTTCTAGAATATTGCACGTTTATTCTTAGCAGTGCGTGCATAAAGGATAAATTAAGGCTGGAATCAGTACAAAGACGATTTACACTTCATATTCTTGGAGCTGATTGTACCTTAACTTATAATTCTAGATGTAATAAACTTGGGCTAGACCCTTAATGGAAAAGGAGACTCAAACTAAATCTTCTCTTTTTCTTCAAACTACTTCATAAACTATCGTTGACATCCAATCACGTGATTCAATATGCAGAATTTTCTCATTATGACATCCGTAATTCCTTAGCACTAGTTAAACAAACTTATTCTAAATCATCTCTTCATATGAACTACTTCACCTGTAAAGTTTCTAGACTCTAGAATAACCTACCACAATCTATCAGTACGATAAAATCACTCCCATTATTTGTTCGCTGCATTGATGCATACTGCTCCTCTGAAAATGCATTGAATGTTCTAGCACCTGTAAGTGTATCGCATTCCACAAGTGATATTATAGGAACTTTAAATATTTAGCCATTTTTATTAGTGCATTCTCTAAGTAAAACCACCTACTTGCTATCACTTTATGTTAACACCGTCCCTAGGGACGTTAACTAAGTTGAATAGTATCTAACATAAACAGTATATCACTGTGTCATATGACACATGTATTTTGGTAGACCTGATTGATATATTTTGGTAATTACTGCTTTGTTGTTCCGTACTCTCTGTTTTCGTTTTAATTTCTCTAGTTGTAGATAATTATCATTAATTCGATCTGGCACACGAAATGACCTTAATTACTCCGTTCAAAAATCAACTGGTTGTCCATTTAAGAAAAATTAAAAGTTCCCGGCTGATGAATTTGATCGCTGTAATACATGTACTACCTAAACAATTACTGAACTAGTACACTTAAAACTTTCTTCTATCACGTATTTGTTCTCTACATCTAATGTTACTATTTATATCAAATTGATCATGCCTGTAAACTGGCATGAATTCCGTAAGCATAATTTTCAGAATATATAAATTATAAATTATGATAGCTCTAGATATATCCCTTGTGGTTAAGTAATCAAAGTGTAACCGGCATCGAATATACAGGGTTCAAAACCGTATTGGACAGTGAGAGTACACTTAAGATGTTTAGAACTAAAATAAAACAATTGTTTAATTCAAAATTTACCTCAGTAGTTTTTTACTTGTAGTTATCTCATGATTAAAACATTT